CCGATTTATGGTCCCAAGTTGTATTTCATCGAAAAATATATTCTTTTTCAAATTTTATTTTGGTAAAAACCACGTAGCTGCGTTTATGAACGATAAATTCATAAAAACTTCGGCTTCTTCTTTGCTGATGTTCTTTGCAATTGAACCTGTACTTGTACAATTGTTTTCCGCAAAATACACTAAAATTCAAATTAATTAATAATTTCAAATTAATTATAGTTTATAGTTTGAAATTAATTATCTTAATCAAATTAAAAGTAGTTCATTTTATTTTAAAATTAGCTAAACTAAAATTATAATTGATTTAAAACTGAATCCATTAGAATAAGTAGTTTATAATTGTGTAAATAAATTTTAATTCAATTAAATTAATAATTATTCTAATTGAATATTTTTTAAAATATACCAAAGCGGCCTTTGCATCCTTTGCATGCAAATTGAGAGTAAAATATAATTTAATAAACAATTATTAAGCCACAATTCATTTGCATGCAAATTGAGAGTAAAATATAATTTAATAAACAATTATTAAGCCACAATTCATTTGCATGCATAATGCAATGCGGGCTTTAATTCCTTTTACTCTACTCCCTATACCTACAAATATTAAAACAAAGAGAAAAGAAACTTGTTTATGAGCACTCTCCGGTGCGAACGAAATTAAGGTGGCGTTTGGTTCGTTGGAATGTTTCTGAGGGAATTAGAATCTGTGAAGAAATTGGAATCTATATGGAATTGAAATCCAATTCCATATTCTATTTGGTTCGCAGACATGTCAGATGAATTTGATTTCAGTAATGTAAAATGACATAATTGTCTTTCTTATTTTTTTGCTTTATTTTAGTTTGTTTTACAACTTACATATAGTAATATATTATAAAATATTAAAAAATATTAAATTTTTATTTTATTGATTGATTATTCATTTCAATAAATTATAAAAATCATGCTAATAAACATTATAAGTTAAAATCATCGCAATCAAAATATGTTAATAAGTTACCAAAAGATAGAACAATATTTCAATACATTCCAATCGGAGTATGTTAATTAGTTACCAAAAAATATACCAAAAACTATTTTTATTCAATATATGAATTAGAAACCCGACCAGACACGAAATAATAAAAAAAATACTTTTATTCAATAAAAACATTGACTTACTTGAAAAAATTATATATAGAGGGGTATTATTGTAATTATTCCTAAAAATATAAGGTGAAATTATATATTTTTTTCGGGTCGGGTCCGGTTTTTTTCACCCTAAACCCGAACCCGACCCGACCCGAATAGCACACTTTAAAAACCCGACCCGACCCGAATATCACACTTAAAAAACCCGACCCGAACAAAATAAAGTTTCACCCGATCCCAATATATGAATTAGAAATCCGACCCGACCCGAAATAATAAAAAAATTATTTTTATTCAATAAAAACAGTGACTTAATTGAAAAAAATTATATATAGAGGGATATTATTGTAATTATTCCTAAATATATAAGGTAAAATTATATATATTTTCGGGTCGGGTATTTTTCACCCTAAACCCGAACTCGACCCTACTTGAATATCACACTTAAAAAAACCGACCCGACACGACCAAAATAAAGTTTCACCCGACCCGACCCGAAATAATAAAAAAATATTTTTATTCAATATATGAATAAGTTACCAAAAGATTATGAGGGTAGTATAGTCAAATTTCAATTCCCTCCAACAAGGGAATTGAATTCCATCCATTCTTGGATTGAATTCACTTTCCCTCATTTGATGTAAAGTTGAAGTCATGAGGAATTCCAATTCCCTTGAAAAACTTGAACCAAACATGAGAAAGTGGTGGAGTTGGATTCTAATTTCCCTCAATTTCAAGGGATTCATGCCAACCAAACGTACCCAAGAGTAAAATATAGAGGTGATCATTGCCTTAAACCCCATCCTGCATGCAAAGGGACAAAATAATTAGATCAATAAGGCATACAAATCATGAAAATTCATTACCGAAGCCAAAAATGAAATAACTACTTGCATGTAACTCTCTCTTTCTCTTTCTCACCATTATCTTTGCTTTTGGACTCACTTCCATCACCATTTTGATTACCTCCCCCTTTCTCTTTTTCTCTGCTTCCTCAAATGCAGCCTTCTCAGCCTGCAAAAACCAACAAAATCAATCAAAAAAGGGGAAGAAGCCAAAAGGAACAGTTGGAAACACATAGATTAACGAACATCCCTGTGCTTGCCCCATGTTTCTTCAGCTAGCTCTTTAGCATACTCAACATCATCCGCTTCTAAGATATTATCAAACAATGTTCCAGAGTTCTCCTGACAAAACAAAACATTTATCTTGTTATGGTCTAAAATGGAAGTAAGATAGTAGTAAAGAAAACACAGTAATAAATCACTTAAAAAATTTGTTGTTCGTAAGAAAAAGAAATAACACACTACACAAGAAATAGAAATAAACCTGGGTTGTCGATCATTGGTGCCTCCCCCTTGCCCTTGTAGTTGGGATCCTTGATTCTCTTGGGTGGGAGAAGATTCCAATCAGTGTACAAGCTACCGTTTTGTTTCTCAACATTATCAATAAGAATGCTATATGTAGCATCGGGACGGAGAATAAATGTATAAACATGAGTAAGTCGGTCAGTCTCACAGGGAACTTCCGTTTTGATATAGTGGTATTTCCCGTTGTAGCGAAAAATAACATCTATTCTTCGATCAAAGATATAAGCCCAAACAAAATGCTGCCCCCAACCAACATATCAAGAAATCAGTAACCTCCTTGGAAATTTCAAACTCTCACGTAATTTAGATATTTTCTTTATATTTTATAATATATTTTAGTCATTAAAATTTTATAAATTCATCCCTCTTATATAAAATCTTATGTAAACCCTCAATAAATCTACAATAGCATCGATTAGAGAGCAAACCGTAAAAAAACCTGAAAGGAGTTTCACCGCCGTATTTCTTCTGGTCCATGTCACAACTAAGCAGTCTCATTACTCCATCACCACTAACAAGCTTCTACTCATGCTTGACAGAAAATTGGAATACTAGAGTCTTGGCCTTGTTGTAGCTTGCGGGAACTTAGCAGAAATAGCATAGAACTTGTGACTTGTGAATGTCACCAGTTTGAATACCTGTACAAAACATGAAGCCATTATTAAGGCTTGAAACAGAGGAGTTAAAAGCTACCTTCATCAATTCCAAGCTATGAGTATTGTAGGATACCTTGTCGTTAGGATCGCCATTCCATTTTCCGGAAGTGAGAATCCATTCCCCGGAGAAGTTGACATCTTTCTCCCAGTCAGATTTTACCCACCGGCTTTCCCATCCATCTGCGGTTTCAAAATAATATGCAAAATCAGCCAAAAAGTAGAGCCCCTATTTCATTTGTCAAAAGGAATGCATGTAGAAAACGGAAGGAAATGCGTAAAAGAAAATTATACCATCGAAGCGTTCTTCGAAGAACACTTCAGCAGAGGCAATGACGAAGAAAGAGACGAGAACCAGAGAGCTAAGATTAAGGATTCGTTTGTGGATGGCCATAACTGAATTGCACGAAGCGTGGAAGTAAAACTGCGGCCAGGTTACCCTTCATAAACTCATTTAGGTAGAGCAAACTCCCAATTTAACTTCATCTAAAACTCTAAAATTACTATTCAAAAAGAAAAAAGAAAAAGAAAAGAGAACTCTAGAATTTAACTTGTTTTTCTAATTAATTTAAACTCTAGAATTAGATTGCACAAAGATTTGAAGGATTTGTATTTCAATTAATTAATTTTTTTATTTTAAAATCAAATATTTAATAACATACAATTATCAAAGGGCTAGCTACTGGATTGATATTTTTCTTTCATATTTGTACATTTTTATCTATTAAATTAAAAAAAAAAGGTTATGTTTTAATGATTTATATTGTCAATTGTTATATTTTGATCATTGAGTTGTTAACCCAAGTTAGTTTGATGAAGTAATATGTTACTAAAAGATAATATTATTTTTAATTTGAACTCTAAACTTTAGATAGCATATTAATTTAAGTCTTAAACTTTAGATGAAATATCATTTTAGCCCATAAACTTTAGGTAAAATGTCAATATGACTCATGAATTCGACTAAAGTTTACCATCGACAGTCACCGCCAGTAGTCACTGATTGTCGTTGGATCCCAAAATTTTCACTTGTTTCTACTTTTTGCATTATGAGCACAAATCTAGAGTTTGTTTCAGTAGAAAATGCCTCAAATTTAACAAATCTACCATAATATTCTTCTACTTCCTTTAAAATTAGATCATTATAATAATTTTATCATTTGATATTTTTTTTAACAATTCTTATCCAAGGGAAGGGAGAATATGAATTTTACTCCTAATGGGTATTGAACTCATAATCTAGTGAAGAGGGGAGGTGTCAATAGAAAGCTTTAACCCACTTGCTCTAGAAATTTTTGACATCATTAATGTTATTTTAAAAGTAAGGACACCAAAGTCTAAATCTATATCATAATGAAATCCATAAAGTTTATAATAATCAAATTCATAAAATTTTTGTTTATAATATTATGTTCTATATTTTTTTGTTTTGTTTATAATATTATATATATATAAATATTATGTGTAGATATTATATAATTTTATATGTTTATATTTTAGTATGCATGTAAAAATATAATTATTAATTAAAAAAATATCATATCACATCACAAATCCGGCATTTACTTAACGTCGAGTTTACAAGTGTCACATTCAGTTAGGGGTGTTTAAAATCGGGTACACGAGATTAAAATTGTACGAGTTGAAATTTTTAATTGGAGAGAGGAACGTGTTGAAGTTAAGGAAGGTGATTCAAGGCAGAGCAATTGAAACATAAAGCCTCTGCCAGTATCATACATGTGCAGCTTAATTGAAATTGTGCTCAGGTTCCATTACTCATTTTATTCTTGCCACACGAGACTGAAGCAGAACCAGAGCCAGCAAATTTCAACATCTCACAGTTGGAACATTGTTCAGGAACTAATACAAAAAAGGCATTGAAATTTGTGGCAATGCATTCATAATTGCAATAAATTGGAAAACTAACAAAAAAGAGAAGAGTATGTCAATGTTTAACCGGCGATCATAGTTCCAGCACCCTCATCGGTCATAATCTCATCAAGTAAGGAGTGCTCGACAGTGGTGACTCCTTTTTGTTACTCATTTATTATTTTCCTTCCTCAAAATATGGTTGTTGGGAAATTAATCTACTTTTGTTTTAGTATTGTCGTGATTTTAATATTAGGGCAAATTGTTATAAACACCATTGAATTTTAATATTTTTATTGATTTTATCAATTAAATTTATATTAACTGGACAAAAACACTGAATATCAATGCATTAATTTTAAGTAGCATGATATTTGGCATGTATGAAATGGGTATTTGATGTGGCACGTAGTTAAACATGAGTCAGTTTTACTAAAAATAAGTTTAGACAGTATTAATACTTTGATAATAGTATCGATACTATATTTAGCCACATCGTGGAACCTTAAAGTAAAAAGCGCCGCCGCCATAATGAGAAACCTCCTGACGTGGGGGACCTAGATTCCGATATTAAGCATGTTGAGATGGAATTTACTCCGACTACTAATAGTTCCCCTGGTGATGGGTCGAGATCCTACGATGGGAACCACATTAATTTCCCAAGTTAGTTTGATGTTAGTAGAAGATTTTATTATTTTTAATTTGAATCTTAAACTTTAGATACCATATTAATTTGACTCTTAAACTTTAGATGAATATCATTTTAGCTTATAAACTTTAGGTAAATGTTAATTTGACACATGAATTCGACTCCAATTGTTGTTGTCAACGATCATTGGATCCCAAAATTATCACCTGATTCTTTTTTACCTTCTGAACACAAATCTAGTGTTTGTTTCACTATAAAATGCCTCGAATTCAACAAATCTAGCCTAATATTCTTCTACTTCCTTTAAAATTAGATCATTATAATAATTATATCGTTTGTTTTTCTTTTAATAATTCCTACCATAAGAGAGAATGAGAATTTTGCTCATAATAAGTATTGAACCCACAACCTAATGGAGAAGGAAGATGTCAATTGAAAGCTTTACTTTTAGTTTTAGTAGGTACAAACATGTATACAATTAGATGCATGTTCTTTAAATATGCCAATGTCTAAGGTTGTAAATGAATAAAACATTCCGATAATTACTCATGAATTATTGGTATATGTTTTTTTGTTATATTCAATATTATATTAAATAAATGAGTATAAATGAAAAATATGTTTATTTATTAAACGAACGAGTTTGATCAGGGATGTCTTTGATCCGTTTATTATTCACAAATAAACTTATTTATTAGTTCATCTATAAACTCGTTTATTTGTTTGTTTTTAAGTTTATTTACTAGTATGTTTATAAGGTCATTTATTAGTTCATTTATTTAAATTTGATATTTTTTTATAAAAAGATATTTAAAAATATTTATATTTATCTTATTAGTTTATTATAATTATTAATATTTATATTTGGTTATTATATATAAGTAGAATTATGTTCATATATGATTTTTTGTTTTATTATTCAAGTATATTTTTAATTATTCGTATATGTGTTCAGTTATATGTTCATGAACATATTCATGAGAACATAAGCTTAATGTTTCAAATATTTTTGTTTAATGTTTGTGAACATATTAAATGAATATGTTTATAAACTCTAAAAAGGATATATTCACGTATGTTAAATGAATTTAACATGAACACACATAATTTTAAATTAAATGAACATGAATACAATTCTAAGATTCTTAGCGAACATGTATCCAATAAATTAGATTTCATATACTTACAAATCAAGTTACCCAATAAATTAATTATAACAATAAAGTCATGTATCTCTCTGCATGTAAGGGTAAGGATAAAGTAGTTGTTCCCTGAAAATTGAAATTACCTTATAGTTTAGATATTTTTTATTAAAATTCTATTTTCACCCCTAGATTTAATAAATTTACTCCTAAAATTTTACAGATTCACCTCCTACAATAAATTCTACGTTTCTCTCTGCATGTATCATTGCACTGACTGTTATAGGCCATTGTATAGATAGTCGATGAAACCTAATTTCACCATGATCTCTTATTCAATTTATTAGATGAGATTATTAAGAATATCTTTTGAAAACCGTGAAATTACTTCAGATCTTTTAAATTTCTTGAAATTCTATCTATGTCGTCCATCATTCGATAGTTTCTTCTTTAACGACAACTATTCATGTATTCGAATTAAACCCTCGATTTTTGAAGTGCCAAAACCCTGGAATGAGTCTTCTTTTCCAACTAATTGGAGTGACTCATTTGTTATTTTTTTAAATTAAATTATCTATTTATAATTTTACTAATAGTTGAATGATTCATTTTTAATCTTATTAGATAATTTGTGGTGTATGACAATTGATTAATTAAATGATTCGTTATAATTTTTAAAAATAAGTCATTCATTTGTAAACTTACTAACATCCGAATGACTTGTTCTATAATTTATGCTATCCAAAAATTAAAATTCAGAGGATTGAAAGGGGTGTCAATTAATTGTCCCCAAATGTAATTTAAGTATATTTGGAAAACGTGACTTTTCCTTCCCTGACAGAAGAAGAAACTTGTTTTTGGGAACATGTGTTTTAGTTTCCTCCATTTCTTTTTCCTTTCCTTCTATGTTATCTTTCCGTCATTGGGCCGACAATGATAGGAAATAAAAATGATAAAATCAATTTGAATTTGAAAATTTTCATTTCACGAATTTGAACTTAATTGGCACAACAAAAATAGTAATTTGAATTTGTATAATTGGAAATTAAAATAATTTTGTTATGAAGAAATGAAAAGATAAAAGGAAATTTTAACTCAAAATAAAATATTTTTAATCCAAACTCAATAATTTGAATTTAGAATTGTTGAAATTTGATATTTCATATCAAATAGTTAGATGTATTTCTAAAAGAAAGTTGCAGTGTGTTAAATATAAATTGTTCAGTTTTAAGATAATTATCATGTCAAATTCAAGTAATTGTGAAAACATATTTATTAGCGTCCTATTAATGATAATTGAAATAATGTTTATTCAACATTTTATTAAAATATTTAAAATAACACCATGATCTTTACATACATATTATTCATTTAGCGACAATCATTATCTAATTATTTTTATTAAGATTAGATTTTATGTCGTTTCGAATTATCAAGATAACATTTGTTTATCATTCTATTAATTTATTCTATTTTGTACTATTAGATTGGATTTAAATATGTGGTTTGTGTTTAAAGATACTTTTCTCACTACTCTTTACTCTATTTTGTGATTGTTGGTTATCTTTTAGTAGTTTGATATCTTGTTGTGGTTCGTTTGTTGATTAGTCGGATTTGTTCGTATCTATATGTTATTTAAGTTTTTTGGATGATTTTTTTAATTTTTCCTTGTATGATCATTATATGATTCTAAGTGACTAGTTTATTGTGTTAATGATTATAGGAATATGTTATAGTTATATGTTTAATTTATTTTTTTGATTATAAACTTTTATTATAATTTTAAATATTTTTCCTTTCTAGTAATATTAACGATTTTTATCTGCATCCAAACAGATCTAATCATTATGATATCAGTAATAAGTATTTTGAACAAATTTAATTAACATAGATTTATTTATTTAATTAAAATGTGATATAATTAGAATTTGAAACATAAGCTTACTATACAATTATGTCTAATTGAACAAATAAAAAATTTAAAGTAAATGTTAATTATTATAATTATAAATAATACATTTAAATGATTTATAGTATTAATAAACAAATTTATAATTAATTAATATATAGTTTTTAATATAATTATAATATATATTATCTAGATCCTTTTAAATTTAAAAATAAAAAATATATATTTAATTTTAGATACTTTTATATATTATATCGATAATTAGAACAGGTTTAAATTTAAATGAGAATAACTCAAGATGTAGCACAAGGGTAAGCAAAAATGCTTGATTGAACTTTGAAAAAAATGACTGATGTAAGAGAGAAGAAAATTTAAAGTAGGGTGAAAGTTATAGTGAATGTCGGAAGATGCCTAAAGTGAATGACGTCTTCTAACGGGATTGTCTCAGGAAAGGCGGGTTAATATACGGCTAATATACGGCAGTACCAGATACATTAAAATGTATTTAATAAATTCGGTTTAGCGGTACCTATTATGTTGACAACTAATAATGTTTTAGGTAGAAAATATGAAAAACTATTAAAAAATTTGGTAACCGGTAAACTTTGGTTATCGGTAAGTATCTATCTTTTTTATAAAAGTGTCCATACTTTTAACATATCAAGTAAATTTTACCGGTTTTATCATAATGAATCTGGTTTTGTCATATTTTTACTTGTTATATTGTAAAATATCTATCCTTTTTATAAAAGTGTCCATACTTATTTCACTGTGAAAATATATTTATTATTATCTTTGGTTAATATTGTTAAATTTAAATTCTAAATAATATTTTATAAAATATCAAAACAATCAAATAATTTTGTGTGTAAATGAAATTATTAAATTAATATTGTAGGTGGAAAACATGAAACACTATTAAAAAAAATTGAAACATAAATTACATAACTTTAAAAAAAGTATATATCATTTTTATAAAAGTGTTTATACTTATTTCACTGTGGAAAACATATTTATTATTATCTTTGGTTAATATTGTTAAATTTAAATTCTAAATAATATTTTATAAAATATCAAAAAATCAAATAATTTTTTGTGTAAATGAAATTATTAAATTAATATTGTAGGTGGAAAACATCAAACACTATTAAAAAATTTGAAACATAAATTACATAACTTTAAAAAAAGTATATATCATTTTTATAAAAGTGTCCATACTTATTTCACTGTGGAAAACATATTTATTATTATTTTTGGTTAATATTGTTAAATTTAAATTCTAAATAATATTTTATAAAATATCAAATAATCAAATAATTTTTTGTGTAAATGAAATTATTAAATTAATATTGT